CATTACGTGAAAATTGTTTCCTGGTAGATCTGGGCGTTAATTTTGACGGATTTATCCACAAAGACAAGCGGTGTCTTGGTTTCGGAAGTAATTCCTGCCCTAAACCATGACAGATTTTGGAAATCGGCTCCTTGTGTGCACACAACGTCGAGCAGAATGTCTGCTAGCCGGATCCAACAATTGCCTGTCGTTTTGAGAATTGTGCGCCACTTCCATTATGAAGATCTTCTCGGTTCACATCGACGTCAGCTTCTGTTGCCATTTGAAAAGATATCCTAGAGCCTGTATTGCTGCCGAAAAGAGCCATTCGAGCACCTTCTTTAGTATGCACTGTTATGTTTTATTGTATATAAAAATAAACTTCTGAAGATGTAATAGCTTCTCTTTTTGGAAATATGATCAATAAACCATGCGCCAATATTTAGTAGTAGCCACCCTGCGTAATCGAGCGCAAAAGCAGAACGTAGTCATCCTATGTTCGAAGACGTCGACATCTTGGCATCCTTCGAATAGTGGAAGTAGGGTGGCGACAGCTAGGATGAGCGGTACAAATCCCGATGTTCTTGAGTTGGATCGTTGTCCCCTCTGTTGCCCTTGCGGTGGCATCCTAGTGTGTCTGCCCTGGATGAGCCTTCGTCCCATGTTGAAGCTGATTCCAACGATCCATCGCATGGTCTTGTATGCGATTTTGATTGGTCGTCCTAGCAGTGCAAGGATGTGGCATAGAGAGTACAACAAGGCTATAATCACGTATAGGCTGACTGCCGTGATGATAAGTGCCCTACGAGGTTGGCATTCGGGATTGAAGAGGTTAGCTGTGCAGAACCAGCAGGTGACTTGTGGGGAGAACGGAATGGTCGGGCAAGTCGTTTCGGTCGATTTTATCTTTGCTCCGTTTGACACTTTCCATTGAACCGTGTGCTCATGCAGAGTAATCTCTGGTGGAAAGCGTGTATGTTCCGTTTCTGGTGGATTGTCACGTAGTATACAGTAGCCTTCCGAGCATAATTCATACGACTTGACTCCTGATGTCGTGATCTGTAGGCCGTCTGGTGTGCACTGTATTGTGCCACTAGATTCGCCTATCCCTATCCTCATTCGTGGAGAGATCGTTCCAGGGATTACGGAATCCCACGAGTCCAAGAACGTAAATAATCGTAAGGAGGGGTCCATTGTGAAGTGGATCGTAATTCAATCTTTGCCGTCGTCGAAGATTGTCACGCTCTGAGGCAGTGCGAGATGTACCCTTCCATGGAGCGATTTCCTGCAAATCAGAGACTCGGCCATTTGTGGTTGATTCTGGATAGCCTTCCGACGATGTGTCGGTGTTGCCTGACGTTGAGCTAGGTGAGAGGATTCCTGTAATACTATTGATTTCCGTCTCCTGTCCGTTTAGTTCGAGTGAAATGAGCAGATTGATGGGACGTCGTGTTGTGCGCTTGTTTGGTAAGGCGAGTTCGACATCGCGTACGGCTCCTTCGTTGCCAGTGTGGACTTTTGTGATGCGTCCCTTTCCAGGTATTTCTGGGCATGTTGGGGTTGTTGGGAGCCTTCGGTGTACCATGGTTGTTAGCCAGATATCGTGTGTGTTGTTCCCTCAAGGCGGTCAGATATTCGTCACTCCAGATTTTCCAGAATTGTTCAGTGAGGTGGTAGGAACTACGAAGAGCTTCCTCAGCCTGTCGTCTGGTATGGAGCTGGAGCGTTTCTTCTGACGGGTGGTAGTCTGGATCGTCCGACGCGTTTTCAAGACCATCCAATCGGGTATGTGATGATCATGTCCCGTTGAATGAAGTCAATAGGGCGTAGTGTTGGACAATCATCCCAGTGTTATTCCTGGTACGTCAAAGGGCGTGCCACGGAGTAGGGAGTTACCATCTTCCACGCAATTCCTTTGGTCGCCATCGTAGCTGCTAACGTAGAGTTTTGTGCCGTCGGAGAAGCGGCATCCCGAAGAATCTGATCACCCAACAAGAAGTATGGTGCATTGTCGGATGTTATCGTTTCGGGCACCCCACGGCGGGCGAAGAATCGTCGAAGTGCATCTAGCAGTTGCACCGTAGACATGTCGGCCACACATTCCAAATGGATGAGGCGAGTTGTCGTACACGTGATGATGATGCCGTAGGCTTTCATTTTTCCCCGTCCCCGTTGGATTTGATCGCGATTGGTCCAAAGTAGTCGATTCCGACGTGTTGAAACGGTCGACTTCTGGTGACCCGACGCGATGGTAGATCTGGTAGAGCTGGATAGCGATACGGTAAGTTGTTCATGCGTTGACATGGTACGCATCTTCGTATGACTTTCTGGACTTGGCGTCGCAATTGTGGGATCCAGTAGTGAGTTCGCACCTCTGCCATAGTATGGGCGGTTCCAAGATGGAAACGCTTGTGGGCATCCTGTATGACGAGGGTCGCTAGGGAAGTTTGTGTCCCTAAGAGTATGGGTTGTTTGCTCTCCTCGGACAAATTGGACTTCAATAGTCGTCCCCTGCATCTGATGATCCCATTTGGATCCATGACTGGCACTAAGCGGTTTTTGATGGGCTGGATTTTCCCTTCTACGTTCATTTGTTGGTGGTTCCGTATGAGCAACGAGAATGCCTGTTGACGCTCCGAGACGGTAGGGAAGTCGTCGTCACAGTACTTGCGAAGTTGTGGAATGTGTTCTAAGATGGACTGTTTCAAGTCGGCGTTGACTCTGGCCACGACTCGGTTGAGCCATCTTAAGGCGTAGGAGAACACGGAAGTGGCTTGTGTTACGGATGAATAGCGCTTCCAATCCACGATTTCCTCTACTCGGCTTGGCAGCTTCTTCGCATTTGTAGCAGCTGCATTCTGATGGATTTCGATCGTTACGGCTTGCTTGGGTGTGGTTCGATCCTGTAGTGTCGTTTTGGAGGCCAATGCTTTTGATCCAAACTCTTAGCCAGGAATGGCGGACCATTCCACCACAAATGTGTTGCGAGGGTTCCTTTTGAGAGTCCACGAGTTGCACAGTCAGCAGGATTGATGTCCGTGTTGATGTAGCCGAATGTGACATCGATTCCATTCTTTTTCATGTCCTCGCTGATGGTACGTATTTCCTTGCAGCGATTTCGAACCAATACTCCAGCGTCACGGTCAGATCTGAAGCGGCTAGCCATGCGAGTGCTATTTCCGAGTCAGAGTAGATGTTGACGGATTGAATTCGCAGCTGACGTTCCAGGGCTCGGAAAGTGACATTGGCCAGGCGAGCTGCCATAGTGAGCGCGTTCATCTCGAGTTTCGGAATCGTAGGATTATCCTTGATTGATGGTAGCTTCGATTTAGCGATGAGGAGTTCCGAACTCCATTGTGCACCATGTAGACGCATGCCGCCATGGCTTGTTTGCTGGCGTCCGAGAACGCTACGAGGTGTGCCGGTGCCGTGGTTCCATCACTTGTTTTCCTGGGGATTCGTTTCTCGAATCCTTGAGCCTTCGCCAAAATTTGCTTCCATTTGATTTGGTGCTCCTTTGATAATGGCTGGTCCCATTTGTAGTCATGCCTCCAAGAGACTTTGAAGGAACAGTTTAGCGTTCAATGTGAGGGGAGTCATCCATCCGAGAGGGTCGTAGACCGATGCGACTTGTTCGGATACGGTTCGTTTCGTGGCAGTTGTTTTGTCTGGATAGCTAGCATTTCAGAAGGAATCGAGTCTTCCTCTGAATCCCACTTCAGTCCCAAGACTTTCGGTTTTGCTGACTGACTCAGTTTGTCCGATGGATGGAAGACGTTGGTTGACGTCGTTACAGTTGGTTCTGAATTCTCGCAGGTTCATGTTGATTTCTGCGAAAAGCTCCCGAGGTATTGCAGCGTTGTAATGCCTCGTCCGATGTAGCCGCCGTCATAATCAGATTGTCGACGTACATGTCGTCTTTAATCATAGCAGCCATTTTCCTGTCGTCCGTGTTATCCAGATGCTCAGCGAGAACAGTTCAGTCCGAACGTGACTCGCGTAAATCGGAACGTGACGATGTTCTTAGCGTCCAACGCCTTGGAGATATCCCGCATCCATAAACAGCGCGTTGCATCTCTGTCGCGAGTCTGCAGGTGGACTTGCAGGAAGGCTTTCTCTATATCACTGATGATAGCGGTATTCCCGATGCGAACCCGGAGCAGTATGTCGATAAGTGAGGGTAGAATCACCGGTCCGTGATGGAGAGGCACGGAGATTTTTCGAAATGCGCCGAGCCGTCGAAAACGACCCGGAGTTTTGTGGTGTCCTTGTTGGGCGTCATTACCGCTTGGTGCGCCAGATAGTGTACCACTGTCCCATCAGGTTTCGCCTTTTCATCGACTTCCTCGATTATCTCTTTGGCTAGCTGATCCTGGAAGGCTTGTGGTACTGCTGCAGTAATTCTGGCTGGTGTCTTAGCTTCGCTTGAATAGCTTTGAGCCGGTTGTAGGCTATCGCACGATTGTCTGGGAGATTCTTTGCATCGTCCTTCCATGGTAGGAGGACATGGTAGCCGTCATCGTGCCGTTCCACTGTAGCTCGAAATTGTTCCCAGAGTTTGCCGTTGATCGTACGAAGTTCTTGCGAGTGTGGTCCCGTGTACTCTTCGACTGCTGAGGATTCCAGGCTCCAGTATCGGTCCCATTGCGCTCGCTCGCTGTCATCGGCAGCCGTGTACGTGCGAAGCGTATTGAGCTGTACGTTCGTGCACTTGGGTGCTGAATTGTTCCTTCCAGTGACCAGGTATCCAATCTTTGAATGCACGAGTTTCATCCTGATGGAAGGCTGTGTTTTTGTCCCAGTCCTTGGTCGAACAACGTGAAGAGATCGCCACAACCCAGCAAAATGGGAGTTTGCAATGTTTGGATCTGTGGCGAAATTGACAGCTGGATGTCGTGATCTTGAAGATATTGTCGATCTTCGCGGTGGAGTTCCGTCCGCTTGACGTCTCCTGTTATGAAGTCGATTTTTGCCAGTTCAAAGCTGTGCCGGACTCCTTGACGGTCCTCGATTTCGACCTGGGTTGTCTCGCAAGATTGCTCTGTCGGAGAGCTATTGCCAAACGTGTGGATGGTTAATTGCAGTTGACCCGTCTTTCCGAGTCCTAAGTGGTCTGCATAGTTGCGCGTGATGAACGACTGGTCTGCGCCTGTGTCCATCATGATGTGAACGTCCTCGAATTCCTTTGTCCGAACGTTCCAAACTCTTGCTTGTCCTACGAGAAGGTCCACTGAGTGCTCCGACGAGCGTGGAGTGTCTTACTGGCATAGGACGACGTGGTCGCCGATCCTGCAGGATGTAGAGCTCTGGTTGGCTACGACCGCGGCGAAGTTTTGAGACACTGCTTTCTTCTTTGGTGCTGGTGCCTCTGGTTGAGCCTTTGGAAGAGCATTCCTTGCTGGTTTCGGTGTCCATGCTTGTGGTTTGGGAGCTTTCCGACAGATTGAGGTGTGATGACCCTTTTCGTTGCACTGTCGGCATGCTCCACCGGTACAGTCCTTTGGCGCGATGGTCTGGTGATCCGCAATTGTGGCAGAGATTCCGTCGCTTGATGGCAGTTCCAGTCGCTGCTCGATTGTGGTGTACTTTGGGCAGGATCTCGGTGTGTGGTTGGTATCGTTGCAATGGAAGCACGGGAATGTCCTGATGCTTCTGCTCAAATGCTCCGTCGACCAGCCATCTGCCGATTCCGTTTTTTTCTTCTACACGGACCGTTGGATCCTGTCGTTGAACTTTGACAGGGTGGTACGCCGCATTTGCTGGGTGTTGGTATTCTCTCCTTTCTGCTCTAGCTGAGCCAGAACGGGGAGAATCTTGTCGAGGGTATGCATTTGGTCTGCGATTGTTGCGCTTCTCGGTCGCATATCCTGGAGATGTTGAAGCAGTTGGCTGATGACTGCTTCTTGGTTGTCGTATTTCCTTCGGAGAAGTTGGATGGCAACGTCGTAGTTGTCCGCTGTGACTTGAAGCTCTTTCACCGTATCCATTGCTGGTCCTTGAAGGGCTTCCAGCAAGTAACTAAGCTTTTCGATCCTGCTGATGTTGCTTTTGTGGATGACGGCTTCGAAGATGCTCCAGAAATGATCCCATTCCCACAGTTGTCCTCGAAACTTGGGAATTGGAAGTGGGGCCAGACGTGGCTGAAGAGCTTCGTCCGTAATTGCATCGGATTGCGTCGTATTGGAGTTTTGTTCCAGGAAAAGGGAGAGCTGAACCAGACGATTGAGCCCTTTGAGAAGTATCTCTTGAGCAACGTCGATGTTCTGTTGGATTCTGTCCATTTGTTCTTCGCTCGGTGGCTGGTCTACCATATCGGCCGCCTCGATAAAGCTGTCGAGCGCCTTTTGCAGATTGGTTGTCTTCGTCTGTAGCTCTTGGTGTTCTAAACGAATCCTTTGAAGTTGTTGCTGGTTTGATCCATCATTCGCGATTTGTCGTGGATTGTCCAGCGAGAGCAAAACGCATTTCTTGAGTACGTCGTCGAGAGTGCTTTCCACTGAGTCGAACTGTCATCCTGTTGATGAAGTTGATCCTGTTGGCGTGAAGCTGGTGCTTGTTCCGGTTGAAAACGGTCGAAAATGCAAAATTCCTGGTGTGTGCTAGAGAGTGCTGGTGAGCGACGGGACGTCACTTCGCATGCAGACGAGACGGGACCAGGAACAGATGTGGAAGTCGCAGAACTTACGTACCAACTCCGGCCGATGCACTAATGTGGGAGCGAGGATGTCGCCAAGATTTGCCACGCGGGACTTTTGCTTGGTAGACCAAATCTCAAACTTGGGTAATTAAACGTTTATACAATATTTTACATAAAATAAACATCATAAACATGAAGGCGATCAATACGTTCAAATTGTGAGCGATTTGAGCCAAAATGAAATGAGTTATATGAGTTGAAAGGCACGACGATGATCCTGTTGTGAGTTCCTATTGCATGGACCGTATAATGGTAGATCAAAAGTGAAGGATAATAAGTGAATAATAAATGAAATAGACCGACGGTGGAAACCCGACCGTTTCCGAGGCGATGGCACGAGCAAGAGAATGCCGAGGAGGCGGGGTTCAGGGGTGAAGACAGCGCGCCGTGGTTGTTATAGATGGATGGTCCTCCTGATAGGGTGCGCGAGCACAAAGAATCTCGACATGACTCAACCGAAGAAGCTCATCGATTGAGGAAATGCGAACTTACAGGAATGAGTCATCTAATTGAGGAGAAAAATGGTTGGAGATTATGGTGGAGGTACAATAATGAGTATTACGCTAATAACAGGTCACACGAGGGTGAGCTATCGGTTACATAGGCACTGAGAGAATCGATATACTGTAACAACAGACGACACCTAGGTAAGCTATCGATGACAGAGGTAATCGAGGGAATCGATATACGCCGATCGCCCCGTGATCTATGTTGTCTGTATATTTATTCTTTGGTTTCTCTGATCTAAATAAACCTTCCTTTCTACTTGTCTCTAGCACAGTTTGTATGGGTCACTACCCCGTTCGAAGCTACGAATCCGTCCTTACACTTGTTACAGAAGCTAACATTTTTATGAGAATGAGACTCCATATTAAAGAAAATCATTCAAGATGTAGGCAAGCTTTGTAGAGGGTAAGTAAGGAACTCACTTGTTTACTGTGGAAGCTACGAAGTAAGATATAGGATCGCAAATGCCCTTTTGATTACATTATCAATATGTCGGAAAATCTCAGCTCAGAGTTGATGGCTATTCTTAAGTCTCTCACAGCCTGACAGCTTACCATTCGCACGCCATTGTTTTCGTAGTCGAGCTGGGCTGCGTCACCGCTATGCAGCAATGAGCATATCGCCTTGTTAATAGCCGATTGAACAGTTTCCATATTTTTATCGTTATCAACACCGTAGGTTGTCGTCGTCAGCGTAATTTGAACCTCCAAATGTAAAGGGGGAGACGGATCAAAAATCCCCCTCGACCGCCGCGCCAAAACTAGGTCACCGCGCGCGACGTCGCCGGCGTTTTTGCAGTTTGAAACATGGCAATTGGCCAAGTTCAGGACCCGTCTCTCTTGACGATCGATACAACACTTTTTTATTCCGTTTGTGTAGTCCCCATTTCTGCACAAAAAGTGGTCACGATAATTCCCATGGGGACGATAAGGAAGCTATGTACTGGAGTGGATAGGGGTCCTGCCCAATGTTACAACACGTGAAGTTTCAGTGGCAGTGGCGCCTTATCAACGGAGTGATAAGGCGCCGAAATCCACTTCCGTTCAGCAAAAACAAAGACTTATCGATGTGGAAAGGGGTGCGATAAGAGCGTGCTAGATATGATACCGTTATCGTTATCGTCCCGTTTTCATTCTGGAGTGCACCTCTTATCAAGCAGCCGCACCTTCTTATCTCATCGTATCATATCTTCCATGGGCTTACACTCGTCCAACAATTACTGCCTCACACCTTATCGATTGATAACGCGAGGGTAGCAAATCCAGCGTGGAAGCCAGCGTGATCGCTTCCTTTAAAGGCGCAACCCAGGCAGAAGTCGTGTGAACGATTCCTTCGGTCTGTAGGATAGACCCCTAGAGGACAATCACAGATGTGGCGTTCTCGTGCACGGAAACCAACCGACAAGAGCGCTGGGCCTTGCAAAGTAAGCTGCAAAAGCCGACTTTTTTCTTTTCTCAAGCTGCTGTCTGGCTCCCTTTAATCTCTTGCATTGAACAGCAGTTTTAGGCCGGAGCAATTACGTTAGGCCTCCTTGAGCTGAATGGCGATGACGACATATTCTGAAAAGGTGAAGACCATGAAAGAGGGCCTGCCTCTATTTAGGGAGTAGAAACACGTATCCATATGTTCTCTACATTCTGTACATTGTTTTGTACAAAGCAACAAACGAAATCAGGAAGGTTTTTATTGTAAATACTCAATACGAAATAAAGACTTTTTACAACTATATGCACAAATTTGCCGCCGCCCATACAGCAATATCTCAGCTACATAAGGCATATGTCAGATTTTGCGAATCCAGCGATTCGTTGACCGCGACGCGACCGCGATCGCTGGCGAATCGATCGATTCGCAGAACCTGACATCGGCCTAATCATGTGACATAGGTGGTGAACAAAACTCGGTAACTCGTACATTTATCGATGCTTCTGATATATCGAATGCGTCATAAGCTGATATTGAAAGAAAGAAATGAAATGCTGTACACAGTTGGCGGTTAGTCAAAGGTAGGTTGTTCGCAATTAGGGTAAGTCTCAGAGGTAAGAGAATAAGGTTTGCAGAGATCTTTTATCCATATTCTATGCGAATCGACGAGATTCCTTGGCATGGATCGTGGTTACGGTCGTAGTTCTAATTGCGCTGGTGAACTGATTGGATTTGTGGTTTTGCGGTAAAGGCACTGCTTCGCCAAATTTCGCAAATCTCGATGGATTCGTGGCTCGGCTCACCTGAGCGCGTTCGATACGAGTTCGGGACCATGTACATGATAGCGGATCTGCCCATCGTCGAGACGAATGTATGGGTTTGGGAAATTCTGATGAGCATGTTCACTCATTTCCCCAAAAACCCTCTGTGTACGCTGCGCTGGCCGGTGGTGCTAATAGTCTAGTTGCTTTGTCTGGTACTACGTGACACATCTCCCACTCCTTAACTCCGCCCTCCCCCGTCTCAGAACTCTACAGGGGTGGCCAAAAAAAGAGACACTTGACTCCACATTTCAGACAGCATTAATCACACTTTGCTAGAATCAAATCGACTGCCCCCAACTCAGTATTGAAGAGCACATTCTAATCTATCTAAAATTACATGACAGCCTTCTACACCGACGACATCAGAAGATTTTCCCACGGAAACATGGTTCACGGTACGAGCTCAACGAGGTCGTCGAGGTACCATAGACCATTACGACGTCCCTGAAACGCTGGTCAAAAGCGGTCTTGCACAGTCACAGCTAGTGTCTCTGGGAAGCTATTCACCAGTTAACCGATTGAAGAAATTATGTAGCAGCTTCAGGCCGGAGCGATTACGGTAAGCCTCGTTGAGCTCGACGGCGACGGCAGATGACGTCATATTCTGAAGACCGTGAGGGCAGTGAAGGAGGGGCTGCTTCTGCTTATGGGGGAACACTTAGGAATATTCTGTAAACACCTATAGAATATTCTGTAAATATTCCGTAATGAACATTCATCAACAACGGCATTCTGTACGAATTTGATGATATGTGCCGTAGGTAAAAAATAGAAGCATTAATATGCCACACAAAAATTATTTGTTATATTCGTTGAGAAACTTAGTGCAAAGGCGAACAGATATTAGCCGTTTCATTCCCCTCTTTGATACGCAATGCCGAGAAGATTGGAGTTTTATAAAGGAGTAACAAATATCCTATAAAAAAAAAAAAAAAAAAAAACAAAAACAAGCACAAAATAAGTAAAAAAAAATGCAACAATAAAAAAATCTATATCAAAAAATAAAAACATACTCTAAAAATAATCGAAAAACGGTAATACGTCTATTATCACCAATAAAATGTATATTCAATTACGACTTATCACGCATTCTGCGTCACTAATGCCTCCCACACCCATTCTACACCGCCGTTCTCAGCTTACTTCTTGCCAACAAAAATCAACCCACATGTATATTAAGCCAGTTTTCATCTGAAGACCTCACACGTACTTACCGTCTCTTATTACTCGTAAGTTTATTTAGTTTCATAAAACGAAGAATTCGCTCCACTTTCAAAGAACGCCTTCAGTCTCTAGCTCGACCTAAACTTGCATGACAACATTCAGTCACTCAATCTCGAACAACTCTGATTGGAGTGAGAATTCGACAGTACCCCCACGTGAATGCCACGACGAATGCCGCTATGCCTAAGCTAACTCCAATTGTTTCAATTTTAGAAATTGTCCTGCCCGCTGAGCGACAGAAACAGATAAATACAAGCTAGAGCATACACAGACTAAAGTCGGATCTGACGCGCGCTGTGCGAGTGAGAAATACAAACTGTCCCCTCAGACACGTAATGCAAAATGATAAAGTGGGTAAATGTAAACACATTATATTACATAACAGATAATTCCATGAATCGCGTCGGTATTCCTCTCATAAGGAGCCACATTTCGCAGACGCAGTTAGTCAGTACATCACTCATAGTTAGATCACACTTTACTGCTCTTCTAAAAAATCGAAAAAAAAACAACGCATAAGAACATGCGATATCCTGCGTCGCATTTTTTTTCGTTGTTTCAAGAGTGCTTATATACGAGTCTGGCTTCAGCATAGTGATAAAAAATAATTCAGATTAACATCTGGCAAAAAAGCATTGGAATCGTATTCTAGTTGCGTCGCGATCGAGAGTTATCTTGCATAAAAACGTGAATTTGTAAGCTCGAACTCTAACTTCTGGAAAGATCGCACTCAATTCATTCATAAGCGTAAGTATCCGCGCTCATAAGAAAAAACCATATCCACTCACTCGGGCTTTACCGCGGCCTGCGTCAAAAGGTGTGAATCGCACAACAACTTTCGTTTTGACTATATGATATTAAATCTAGATCTATCCAGGAGGTCTCTCTTATCTCTATGTACCTTTCCACATGTGCCAGCGAGCGAGAGCGGCTGCCATGAGTGTTGTGAATTATGAGCGAGAATCTGTAATGTTGCTGTCAACCAAAAATACGTCAGAGACTAGAATATTCCCTTTATCTGTAAGGTGAAGAAATTGAGGAATGCCGTTGACGCCATTCGGGAGTTGCATCAAGACACCAGTTCGCAATTTGGAACTTCGCGCATGATCATAAACCTCTTTCTTTGTTCTTCAGAGAGTACCTGAGGGGAGTGCCAGTAGTTGCTCGCCACGAACGTGCGTGCCCCTGCGGTAATTCAAGAACTCTAGACATCAGTGTACCATTGTGTATTGTGAATGCGATAGATTGCATTTTTTCCAGGATTTCATGGTCCCTATTCCATAGCGGCGCGTTCAAATGACTCAACAACTCCTCCTCCTCGTGTTCAAATGGAAATCATAGATCATTTTTCAGCAGGACAGTTAGCCTATTTGGTGAAATTTTCCAATGTTTGAGCGAAGGTTTTTCCGAAATCTGAGGAGGTAGCGGGGAAATTTCTTCACAGTTGTAGAGTACGCTTACTTGTGTGTAGAAATAAGATGACATACTTGCTTGTAGACGAACCGCTCCCTGGCCACCCAAAGTGCTATTCACGTGCGCGGTGCGTGAGAGCTCACGTGACAGCCGATGGCCTTTCTCGGTAGCTGGCGGGCAGCCCGATCGATACACCGCTATGCGTGTCGAAAGTGCGTGGGAAAGTCACCACGCACCGCGCACGTGAATTGCACGTGGGTGGCCAGGGCTGAGGAAGGCGATCGGCGATAAGGAAAAGGCCGAAAACGGTGAAAAACGAAAGTTTCAAGTGGGAACTGAGATGTATATCGTTCGATAGCATTTTGCATATTACCTGTATGAGGAGAAGTGGACCTACACAGTAACAAAAAGTCCGATTATATTCTACGCAATTAATAACGCTTACGGTCACACCACCAAAGCTGGAAAAGTGTAAACACCTCACAAAAATATCCCATAGGAGCTCAATGTTATATCCAAGGGCATCGGACAAGATCTATGCCGATCGGAAATCTGAGCCAACACCAGGAAGAAATCACATCAGCACGAAATAAAAAAAAAGCTTGCGCAAAAATACAAGTGGAGCAACACCCAATACTACTCTTCCGTAAACTTGGAACCACACTTGGATCGAGATGGCCCCCGCTCAGGTCAGCACAGCGGCACCTCTCAGCTCAATCGCCGGACCCGACGCATTGTCATTCAATTAATCACAAATCATATATAAA